AAAAAAAAAAAAAAAAAAAAAAAAAAAAAAAAAAAAGGGACGCTGGCACACTATAAAGTCTGGCAAACATCACCAACTCTTGGAGCAGTGGCAGCTCTGGCCATACATAGCACTCTTCCCCGTAACCCCTCCTCCTCTGTCACTCTTATTCCACACACCTGGACACACTTTTTTATTTTTTATATTTTTTATTTTTTAGGACTGGGAAACGGATAATTCTTTCTATAAAAAAAAAGAGGAATGAGAAAAATAAATAAATAAATAAACTCTTAACTATATAAAAGAGAGAAGTCCTTTTGGCTTCCTTTCATCCTACTTGCCCCGTTTGAAACTAGTCAGAGAATATATTTTTTTACTTCTCTAACTTACTTCTCGGTTCATCCTATTTGGGTCTTGTAATAGCCCATATATTTTTCTTTGGATTTTTCCTTTCAAGTTTTCCCTCTAGGTTTTTAGAACGCGTATGCTAGAGAGAGTTTCTACACCCTTACAAAGAATGCTTAGTTCTCTTATCCAACTGAAATGTGGTCTCACAATTCACACCCTTTTGGGTCCATGTACTCGTTGGCACTCATTCCTCTCTCCAATTGAGGTGGGATCTCACAATCCACTCATCTTCAGGGCCCAATATCCTTAATGTCACTCGTTTTCCTCTCCAATCGATGTGGGATCTTACAAAACTTATAAACAATGCTTAGTTCTCCTCTCCAATTGATATGGGGTCTCACAATCCACCCACTTCAAGCCCTAGCGTCACCCTTATAAAGAATGCTTCTTTCAGAGCCACTATCCTCGCTGACACTCATTCCTATCTCCAATCGATGTGGAATCTCATAAGTCTGATACGTTCAGACCCTTGGGATAGGGATCTCACAACATTTTCGACTCTTCTTTAGTCATTTTTGACAATTTTAGAGACTTTGAAAGTTAATATTTTTAAATTTATGGTATTTCATTATTAGTGTATTTTAACCCAACTTTTTGTTTTCTTTTTATGTTAAATTTACAATGATAATTAATTATGATCATAAATTATAAATGTTACCATTCTTAAAATATCCTTCCTTGGAGGTCATCAAACATAAAATTGCTCAAAGTAAAATACGTATTATTATGAAGTTCTTATAATTAAGCCACCGAAAATGAAAGTACACTTTGTTCAACTTTCATGGTGTTAGCTCACAAGTATTCCATTTAACACTTTCATATTTACACGAGCACTTAAGTTTCATATTCACAGTATCAACAAAATAATTTCCTTTGCACAACCACCTTAAATATTTATAACCTATTAATTTTTGTGTACCATGTTCCCTTGTTATCGTTTCTCATTTTTTTTTTATTTGAACCAATTCACTCGTTAGAATATGAGGTACATCACTTTTCACCTTTATAGTTATATATAACGACCTTAGATTTTAACTAACCTAAAGTCGCTGTCATCTCCAATAACATAATTTCTTAAGCAGAAATAATCTTGTCTTTACCTGAAATATAAAATTGTGATGTGTCATGGTCTTTAATTGTGATGTTGTTGTACACAAGTGCCTTTTCTTTACCTGAAATATAGAAATACCACATGACTTAATATTCTAAGAAATACTAAGTAGGTGACCCCACTATTGGGGTTAGATGCAAACATATACAATCATGAATGAGACATATCATTTAAATCTATATTCTATTAGGTTACTATCCTAAGCAGGTAATTGGATGTGTATTTAGTATTCTACACAGGGCCTAGACGTTCAAATATGGACCTACAGTCGGTTCGTATACCTCCTAGGCCCCTTTCCTGGTTGGGCTAGCATTCTCTAGTGCTCTTGTCGGATACCTGGTAGGAATGATCAGTGTCGTAGTATTATGATAAATATAATAATCATTTTCCTTTTCGTAATGTACGTGTTTGTACCCATCGGAAACGGAAAATTTTTCTGATGCATGTAACATACAATGATGCATGAGGTCCCAAGCTTTTTCATTTATCAAACCACGTAAAAACAACCTCTCACATTTTCCTTCATATTATATCATTTTGTATAATACAACCTTTAAAACATATATCGATGTTGTATACCGTGTCAAAACATATTTATTGTGCATCATTCATGTCATACATTGTATCATGTCATGGCATGAACTGCACATGACTTGAGAATTTTAAGAGAAATACTTAGTGACTCCACTGTTGGGGTGGTGAATGCAAACACATACAACATGGTGAGATCTATCATTTAAAACATTATTTCATTCTCTTACGCAACTTTTCAGCCTGAGTTATATTGTATATGCAATGCTTCTCTACACTCGGCCCACACGTGCAAACGTGGACCTAGCAGGCAGGCTTGCACACTCCTTGGGCCTACTTGTCGGGCTAGCACTCATTGACAAGCTATTTTCAGACACCCAAAGGGAATAGCGGTCGTTGTATTATCATGGCGAACATGATGATCATAATCTATCTCATAGTGTACGCATTTGGACTCATCATAATGAAAAAGTATCCTGATGCACATGAACACGAGTTATGCATTAGGTTCTCATACTTTCCATCATGACATTATAACGATGCAAGACAATCTTCATT